GCTTACACGGCATATTTCAAATTTAACCGCTGTACTATAAACTTTTGTGTTCGACCCTCGACGAACGCCTTCGATATAGCGTCACGGGTCGCGTCACGGGTGTTTCAAAAACACAGACCTCGAAAACACAGACCACAGACCGCAGATCCCGAAAAGCGCCCTATTTTATTTTTTTATTCCCATCGCTTGTCTGCTTCATTATTTTCTTATTATGAGGTGAAATTCTCCCTTGGGAGCTAAAGGGTTAAACAAAAGTCTCCCAATAATTTCGGCGCGCCTACGACAGGATGTAAAGGGTTAACAGACTCTACGTAAAATAATATAATAATAATAATAATGAATAATAATTTCGCAATGGACATTCCTGTGCTCGTGTTGGATACACTCAATAAAGACTGATTTTTGCACTGATTCACTTTATTCGCTTAGGTTCATGTAAAGGAAAAGGTTAATTAACTCAAAATAGATCACAAAACGCTAACTGATTCTGTGTACTTAAAACGTAACAGGATTGTGAAAAGAGAAACGATATAAAACGAAGTTACATACCAACATTTTCTACTCTATTCCTCGAGAGGATATCCAAACACGTGCGTTTAATTCGCTTGTACTCAGTAATGGATTATTAATAATGTTACATATATTGTACTTGTAATATGATCAATAAAGATTATAACGTCACGGTAACATTCCGCTGGGTGGCTCTTCTTGTCCGCTGTTTCCAGATCGAAGTAGAATTTGGAATGTTGGTTTTTGCGGAGGGAGGAAAACCGGAGGACCCTGAGAAAAACTCTCGGAACAAGGACGAGAATCAACAACAAACTCAACACACATGTGACGCCAGGTCCGGGAATGGAACCCGGGCCACAGCCGTGATGGAAGGCGAGTGCTCTCACCACTCCGCCATCCTTCCTCCCCTGCAACTATGGGTCAAGTAGTGTCTGCTGTATTGCAATCGTCCAATTCCAGAACAAGAATTGAGAATATTTTTGATTGCCCTGGTTAACTCTTACTGCAACTGAGCTCTACTCGCCAACTGATAAAAACACATAACCTGATGGGAAGGGAGGAAAATGTGAGGCTCTCTCTTCTGGTTCAAATAAACCCAGGCCATTGAGATTGACATCAAGCCACCAACATGCAAAGGCAAGGCTTTTGATCTTTGCGATCATTATAGCAGATAAGTACTTACCTTGAGTAATAAGACAGAAACAGATCATTAGGATGATCACCAATGATGTACTCCACTTCTGAAGTAGTCCCAGTAAAGCTTGGCTGTAACTGTTCCAATTATATGATCTTACTGCGTTCTTTCAAGACTTTGGCTCTCATTGGTGCGACGCGGTCGTCTCACACGTTGATCAGGAGCCTCTAGTGACTCATTCCCCCAGCCGAAGTTTAGGTTCAAATCATACATACCGTACATACATACGTTAGTTGACCACTCCCCATGAAGGCTTTTTAAGGCCAATTCCCGCCCATCCCACCCCAGGGGAGGACATCCACTACACAGTAATCCAATGCGTGGGAAATTAACGTCTCCTACCCCTAACCCTGCAGGAGACGGGGCCTACGGTTTATTCGTCCTTATCCGAGAAGACTAGAATATCAGCATTGTCTTTCTGAGAAATCTTGGATAGCGGGTCAACAGTTGAACATTATGACGACATTATCACCTACTAGTTATTTTAGGAGATCTTCGAACTCATTACGTGCTGTTTTCATTTAGAATATATATTTTCAAGCGCTTGTAACGAGGATTCAGTTTAGTTATTACGTTAAAAAGAACATAAACGTAAACTTCGACATGGAAACTAAGGAACTTTTGCTAAGCTCAGCAAAGCGCAAATATATACTACCACTTTTTATTCAACCAGACTTGAACAGTTACTGTTTGATTCTACCTGGAATTAGTGTCAAGCTGAAACCGTTACCTGCCTAATACTTTTTTTAGTTGATATCCACTTGCTTTGTTTCGGAAATGATCAATCTCGTAAAAGGCGAAATAATTTGGATATATCAACAAAGTTGAAATGGTAAATTGGCCACCGTAACGATTACAAAAGCTGACGTTTCGAGCGTTAGCCCTTCGTCGGAGCTAATTCGAATTTTCTTTCTAGCCAGTTGATGTTATTAAAATGCATTAAATAATTCAAGCGAATCTTGTAATCCTTTACATAATTCATAACATTACTTAAACCTTTTTAATTTAGGCTTTAATAGAACTTTATTGCAAAGCTTTCTTTTTTTTCGGTCAGTATTTTGGAGAGAATCTGATGCGCCTGCACGTGTTAGAACTACAGGTTAGAACGAGTGTTGAAGTTAAGTTTACTGGGAAAGTCTCTTATCTCATCGATAGTCAGCAATCGCGATAGATCCCGATATTCTCTCTCCCAGCGAGTGTTCCCCAGGAAGAGCCCTTCCAGATTCGAGTTTTATCGAGTTTTCCCCGGTCCTTCCCAATATTTGTAGAGGCAAAAACCTGTTTTCACACGCTTTTGTTATAAGATGTAGGTATTCCCTCAGGCGAAGAGTTTCATTTATCATTCTACATTCTAAGTTCTTCCATTCTCTTAATTTTCGATCACCACTTTTTAAACAAGAAAAGTCAGCTGTTCCAGAAAATTCGCTACCCAGGTTGATTTGCCCTGAGCATCTTTCGCTTGATTTGGCACTGATATAAACGAAGTGTATCACTCGCGAGTGGCCTGTGAATCTTTAATTGTTTGAAATTAGACAGTGAACTACTGAATGAATTTACTCAACGATAGATACGGTGTATTTGAATTAAGATCCACTAATATCCCGTAGATACTCATTCACCTGAAAATCTAACAACCGTATTGGTTTTACTTATATTCTATTAAACTGGACGACCGAAGATTAACCTAGTTACACGATTAAAATCGCTTCACACTCCCGGTTAGCTCAATGGATCATGGGGAGCGCCGGACTGTTGAGCAGGAGGTCGAGGGTTCGAGCCCCGGCCGGACCAACACTCAAGGTTACTGAGGAGAATGTGCTGCCTTTCTATAATATCAGGAAATGGATAGACATTCTGAGTCTTCTCGGATAAGTACTAATAAACCGTGGGTCCCGTCTCCTGCAGGGTTGGGGTAGGAGACGTTAATTTCCCACGCCCGAGATCACTGTATGGTGGATGTCATCCCCTGGGGTGGGATGGGTGGGTACTAGGGCCCGCAGTATATGGCGCAAGCTGTTGCGGGGTCCCTGCCTGTCGGCGAAGTTGTGACTTAAAGGCTTTGACTCTAACGCATATTGGCAACATTTCACTCAACCTCGTTCCCAAGGCCTTTTCCCTTACTCGGGGTGTGACGGAAAAAGGCCCTGGGAACGAGGTAGCATTTCACAAATCGAGGTCGTGATCAAATGTGTTTGTTTTTTGTATCAGCCGATTTTTGATGCTACAAAATTGAACAGCGGAACCGGTTCGTTCGTCTGAATCAGCTATTACCCTAATAATGCTCATGACAAAAATTGAACGGATATTTGTACCACGCGGAAATGAATTATTAGTTTTTGTTTCTTGTGTAAAGCCTTATAAACTTTAATTAACAGGAACAGGAAGTCAGCCTTATGTTTGATAAGCCCGGCTTGTAATCGTTTAAAACGAAAACAATAATCTTTTAAAACTAACTTTCTTACAAGTCATCAAAGTTATAATCAAATTAACCCGAAATTTACAAACGTGATCTCATTCTAAGTTAATAAAAAAAAGTACGGTATCTCAAAATTAACTTTAGATTGTAATAGTGGGATTACCTTCAGATGCTGAGACCCTAATGTTAAGGAAGAGTTTGGAAACTTTCTCGCTGAAACGACCGAATGCATAGTATATGCTGCATTTCCTTTCCCTTTGACAGACCTTCGTTCATGCTGACACACGACCAATGAAATCAAAAGTTAATAGGATGAAAAAAAACGCTGTCAGACAGCTAGGTTGGATCATATTTCAAAGGATGCCGATCTCATTTCCTACTTGCTGATTAAATCAAAATACCGATAAACTCTCGCTCGTCAGGAAATCAGTTTTCTCTGGAAATTTCTGACGAGTTCCCTTCTTCAAAATTTCGCTTGTAACCAGTGAAAATTCAGCAACGGCGAGCAACAAACTTACGGATTTTTCTCGGTCTTCTTTAGGTCCTTCAGCCAACCAAGCAGAAAAATTACAATTTTCCATTTCCATTTAGTACAAATATTAAACTTTGGCGTCAAACCTGCTTGAGGCAGACAGTAGTAATATCAGTATGTCGTTTACTGTAAACGTCTCCTCCAATCTCTTTCTAAAACGTGCAACTATTTAGCCTGAACCCATAGATAAACAACCTCGCGCTCGTTCAAGATGATTGATCATGTATGTTTGCAAATGGAATTAAGAAATATAAATTAAATTTATCAGTCTGAGTGAATCGTTAATTTCTCGGAGCTCTTACAACTATCGTGTCTAATATACACTATTCATTTTGTGATTTGCGGTGCAAAAGAAACTAATTGTGAGTGCCCAATATATTACGCAAGTTCTACGTGAGGACATGCATGAGTGGGTTTTACGTCATGACAGGATTGCCTGACACTTCCGACAACGGTCCACTTCATAATTTGTTTATGATCACGTAACGTCTTTGAGAACAAACTTTGGCCATACAACTTTTCCAAGAAGGAGAGAACAATTGGTCAATACGGTTCTGTTAAACTTTTTTGACCGCAAGTCATGTCCGAGACAAGTACGAGTCGCCGATCAAGAGTTCTACAGGCTCTTCGAACACCAAAATTCTTAAAAGGACTTCACATCTTGGCGATAGTTCTCGGTTTTTTATGCATTGGCGGCTGTTTTGTGCTTGCAAGTCTCACGTACATTTTATTTGGAGACTGTGATGGCTGTGAGATGGAATCAGAGGATAAAGCTACGGTAAAAGTTTTGAGGATTTTAGCTACTGCCTCTTTCCTTTTAGGAATTCTCTCTATTGCTTTGTCACTGTGCTGTAAAGGAACAGCTAGCAACAGTCTTGCTCCTCAAGTTGTGGTTTCGCCTATACCTGAAGCAGATTTAGAGAAATCGCCCGCTCCTGTACTAGCATATAATCATATTCCTCATCGGCAAGCGTTTGATCCCGAAGATTCTGCGACGAGTTACAGTTTGACTGAATTTGTAGCGAATGTGGACAATATAAACGAACAAACTGCGTCTAATTCTTCAGAAAATGCGGGATTTTGGACAGAAGAAATTGATGGACCTGTTACACCCCCACCAACTTACGAGGAAGCTCTTGTTATGGAATGGCCGGTTTTAACGGTTAAAGAAAACAGCTTACAGAACTCAGAAGAAACAGACTCTTTCAACACGGGATTGTAGACGAAAAAATTCAAGTTTACACACATGAGAGAACACCAGCTCGCAGAGCAAAGGTCATACATCACAATATGTGGACAGTTTGATAAGAGTTGTTCACGATGGTTTCACGCGATAAATATAACTTGACGTTTTTCCATTTTCTTTATAAATATCATAACTCTATTTAATTATCATCCTACAGTCGATGTTAAAACACTGCATGAATTTTTTGTACAAAGTTTGCAAATGTAATTATTTTTTTGAGTTCACATAGGTTTCTTTTTGTTCACACACACACATACAAAAATGTATATATTCATATTACCTCACGCTATTGGGTGGCTGATATCATGCTTGTCGCTCTTTTTTTTTCATACAGATATTTTGTACGCATACTAGTATGGATCGTCAAAAATGTTCAACAAAGAAATAAATGTTTTACTATATTTTGACATTTCTCGATTTATTCTATCACAGACAAGAAGCAGCAACCCAAACAATTTCATGCCATGTTTTACGTAATTTATGAGAAATTCCTAAAGCAATACCAGATAAATCAAAACTGAAACTGAAAATGCTCTTCAAATCAAAAATATATACAGCAAATAAGCAAAAACTAGACGAGGTACAAAGTGCATTTTTTTAAAGGGGAAAACCATCAACATCACTAGCCAAAAAAATAACAATCCTTTACCCATCAATCAGAACCTTTACAGTGGTGATGGAAAATAATTCTTACAATTACATCTTACCGACATCGGACATTTACGTATCCATATAAGAAATATTGGTCTTAATAGCAAGTCAGTATGTTGGGCTCCAAATAAATTATGAACAATAAAATATAAATGATGAATAAAACATGTCTAGGTCATCTTAGACACCACTTATTAGGCAGACCACACTAGACACTCAAAATGTGTGATGTATGTTTGTTGAACACTTCCTGAAATCCAGATGAGTCAATTTTTAGGACAACTTTTATCAAGATCTTACACTCTTACATCAGTGGGTATATTCTCCATACTGTTCTCTATACATTTACTGAGGTGCTGACAAGGAGAATTTGTTGAACAATCAAGAGTTTTTTTAAGTTGGTGATCATTTCCTTTACTCTTGTGACCTCAATGTGTGATTCAGGGGTGATATTGCAGAGAAAAAATTTGAAGCTGGTCACTAGTAGGGGTTAATCAATCAATCAATCAATCAAGTTTATTGTCTTTACATGGGGTATGGTTCCCAGATTGCCTGATATATTACCAGTAAATGAACTGAAATTCACTGCTCTACCATTTTCTCTACTGATCTTTTAATTGTTTCTATGAAAAAGACATCTACCAAAAAAAAAATGGTTTCCAAGTGGTTTCCTTCTTTTATGACATCACTAGCTGGACAAACTAAGATAAATGTATCATTCCATTTTTCCTTTGAAAAAAGACCTAAAAGATCTCTTAAAAACATTGCCTGGAAAACAAGAGTGTTTTTACACATATCATAGCTCAAAGACAGTACAAAAGTAAAAACAGAAAATATCAGGCAAACGCGTTGTGATTCTCAAGGCACTGGCACAATATGAGGTAACTAGGATGAAATTGTCAATTTCCATGGAAACCTTCGAATCTTAGTTCCCCTTAAAAGTTGATTTCAATATACAGGGAATTCAACTGAGTTTCTTCAAATTTTGTTGCACTCAGGATGTTATGCTTGCACTTGACCAAACCAATATGGATTCACCCAATAAGTGAAGTTGGCATGTAACAGGAAATAATCATTATGTATACAAAAATGCATTAAAAAAGCTACTCAAGATTGCTTAAGCTAAACCACAAGCCCTTCAGCAATAGTTCTGTAACTAGACAACACTTGGGTCTCCCATAATGATGACAAAGAGTCCCTTCACCACGTTGCTTTCTGCATACTAGCCATCAAACCTTTGTCAGCATAATAGCGGAACATCATTCTTGAAACACGAAATCGTCCAACAAGGGCCCTTCCTCTGTCAGTCAAAACACAACGATTGCGAACTCTTGTGATTGAACTGTCCCTAGGCAGTTTTACCAGATCTTCAGCAGCTTTCTTGCGAATAGTAGAAGGTAAAATATCGTTTTTCTTTAAAAATCTCAAGTTGGTACGTTCCATCTCATACTCTGCATACAGTTCTCTTCTTATCTTGTCTCTCCTTCCCCATTTCTTGAGGTAATTTGGCTTCAAATAAAATTTATCCAGAGGTGTTGAAGTTTTGAATGATCTTATCCAAAGACCTTAGGATAAGAAAAGAGCCAGATAACAAGAAAAAAGTTCATTCCTTGGTTGGAATCAATAACAATGAAAACTAGTAATTGAAGGATATTTCTCGGTGAAACTAAACAACAAATATCAACACAAACCCACTGAGATGCTCTAGAAGTGATTAATAATGGTAA